AGCGAGAGAGGCTTTTCAACACACTTTAGTGATTTCGGATGTGCGTTATTCTTTATTGTGTGAATTCGTTTAATGGTGACTTTTTGTTTAACTGATCGTAGTATAATGAATATCTTAATCAGAAAAGCTTTCCAATTGAAAAATGTCATTTGCAGCACATGGGCACAGGCATGGCAACTGAGGATTACAGAGAATTTGGTGAACTTGTCATCTCGCGCATGAAAGATCCACCATTCTATTGTATTGAAGACTGTAGTGATCAAAAATATTCATCAGTTCGTATTCTTATGATTGCAATCTATAGCCGTTGAGTAACACAACTAAGCGCTTATTCACCAGTCATATATATTTTGAGGCTGGTGCTTATGCCGGTCAACTTCACGACGCCATGTATACATATGCCCGCGCGCTGAATGCTACCCTTAAAGAAGATGCATCGACATCGGATCGGGATGGAACTTTGATCCTAGATCACATAGAAATGGAATTTCAAGGTGTGTTTCGCAGCGTTTGCCATCATTACTTTGCAATTCCTAAATAATAAATCGTTTTTTAAGGGATTTCTGGAGAAGTTATAATGAGTATGAATGGTTCGCGCAAGCCGTTTCTGTATTTTGATGGACTAAACAGGAATGGCGAACAAGTTTTGTACGGAACGATTTTTGTCGATGGAACATACGGAGTAATATTTTGATTATGAGATGTTGCGACTTAATGCTGCGTTTTAATAGATGTGCAGCAAGTAAAACTGCTCGGATTATCGTTATTGTTTAGAAAGCTGAGATACTAAAATACTTAGATGACCTGTCTCTCGTCGTGCAAGCCACCTGTTTCCACCCATTTGTCTCTCGGTAGCGTCACACAATGTTGTTATTGAACTACGGCGGCGGCGTTCGCAAGGTCCAGATCCATTACTCGTAACCAGCTGAATCAGCTGGTCCATCCATGAGGCGAACACGTCAGCCCATCTGATCGGTAGCCTCCCTCGAGGACGTTTTGCTTCGCGAGGAATCTATTCCAGACTACTTATTGTCCATCTGTCGTCTGTTCGTCTCATTATATGACCAGCTCCTCGATGTTTTGCCTAAGAGACGTATTCCGCTGGAGAAGACGAGACGTTGATCTCATCGTACTCCGCTGGATCACGAAGACGAGAATTGATCTCATATTTGAACT